ACACTCTGTGTGAGGGCCAGTTAGTGGACTGTTCAATATAATACACTCTGTGTGAGGGACAGTTAGTGAAGTGTTCAACATAATACCCTCAGTTTGAGTGTGTGTGAGGGCCAGTTAGTGGACTGTTCAACATAATACCCTCTGTGTGAGGACCAGTTAGGGAAGTGTTCAACATAATACCCTCTGTGTGAGGGCCAGTTAGTGGAGCGTTCAACATAATACACCCTGTGTGACTGCCAGTTAGTGGAGTGTTCAACATAATACACTCTGTGTGAGGGACAGTTAGTGGACTGTTCAACATAATACACTTTGTGTGAAGACCAGTTAGTGGAGTGTTCAGCATAATACCCTCTGTTTGAGTGTGTGTTAGGGACAGTTAGTGGACTGTTCACTATAATACACTCTGTGTGAGGACCAGTTAGTGGAGTGTTCAACATAATACCCTCTGTGTGAGTGTAGGTGTTAGGGCCATTTGCACTGCCCCCCCACCCCATCCTTTTTACGCTGCTGCTACTCTGTTAAGTATTTATGCATAGTCACTTTAACTCTACCCACATGTACATATTACCTCAACTAGCCGGTGCCCCCGCACATTGACTATGCAACGGTACCCCCCTGTATATATAGCCTCCCTACTGTCACTTTATTCTATTGTATATATAGCCTCCCTACTGTCACTTTATTTTTTTTACTTCTGCTCTTTTTTTCTCAACACTTTTTTGTTGTTGTTTTATTCTTACTTTTTTGTTTAAAATAAATGCACTGTTGGTTAAGGGCTGTAAGTAAGCATTTCACTGTAATGTCTGCACCTGTTGTATTCGGCGCATGTGACCAATAAAATTTGATTTGATTTGATTTGATTTGAGTTAGTGGAGTGTTCAACATAATACACTATGTGTGAGTGTGTGCGAGGGCCAGTTAGTGGACTGTTCAACATAATACACTCTGTGTGAGTGTGTGTGAGGGCCAGTTAGTGGACTGTTCAACATAATACACTCTGTGTGAGTGTGTGCGAGGGCCAGTTAGTGGACTGTTCAACATAATACACTCTGTGTGAGTGTGTGTGAGGGCCAGTTAGTGGAGTGTTCAACATAATACACTATGTGTGAGTGTGTGCGAGGGCCAGTTAGTGGACTGTTCAACATAATACACTATGTGTGAGTGTGTGCGAGGGCCAGTTAGTGGACTGTTCAACATAATACACTCTGTGTGAGGGCCAGTTAGTGGAGTGTTCAATATAATACACTGTGTGAGGGCCAGTTAGTGGACTGTTCAACATAATACACTCTGTGTGAGTGTGTGTGAGGGTCAGTTAGTGGAGTGTTCAACATAATACACTCTGTGTGATTGTGTGTGAGGGCCAGTTAGTGGACTATTCAACATAATACACTGTGTGAGGGCCAGTTAGTGGAGTGTTCAACATAATACACTCTGTGCGAGGGCCAGTTAGTGGAGTGTTCAACATAATACACTGTGTGAGGGCCAGTTAGTGGCATGTTCAACATAATACACTCTGTGTGAGGGCCAGTTAGTGGAGTGTTAAAATAAACACTCTGTGTGAGGGCCACTTAGTGGAGTGTTCAACATAATACACTCTGTGTGAGGGTCAGTTAGTGGAGTGTTCAACATAATTCACTCTGTGTGAGGGCCAGTTAGTGGAGTGTTCAACCTAATTCACTCTGTGAGAGGGACAGTTAGTGGAGTGTTCAACATAATACACCCTGTGTGAGGGCCAGTTAGTGGACTGTTCAACATAATATACTCTGTGTGAGGTCCAGTTAGTGGACTGTTCAACATAATACACTCTGTGTGAGGGCCAGTTAGTGGACTGTTCAACATAATACACCTTGTGTGACAGCCAGTTAGTGGAGTGTTCAACATAATACACCTTGTGTGACAGCCAGTTAGTGGAGTGTTCAAATAAAACACCCTGTGTGAGGGCCAGTTAGTGGAGTGTTCAACATTATATACTCTGTGTGAGGGCCAGTTAGTGGACTGTTCAACATAATACACTCTGTGTGAGGGCCAGTTAGTGGACTGTTCAACATAATACACCTTGTGTGACAGCCAGTTAGTGGACTGTTCAACATAATACACTGTGTGAGGGCCAGTTAGTGGAGTGTTCAACATAATACACTCTGTGCGAGGGCCAGTTAGTGGAGTGTTCAACATAATACACTGTGTGAGGGCCAGTTAGTGGCATGTTCAACATAATACACTCTGTGTGAGGGCCAGTTAGTGGAGTGTTAAAATAAACACTCTGTGTGAGGGCCACTTAGTGGAGTGTTCAACATAATACACTCTGTGTGAGGGTCAGTTAGTGGAGTGTTCAACATAATTCACTCTGTGTGAGGGCCAGTTAGTGGAGTGTTCAACCTAATACACTCTGTGAGAGGGACAGTTAGTGGAGTGTTCAACATAATACACCCTGTGTGAGGGCCAGTTAGTGGAGTGTTCAACATAATTCACTCTGTGTGAGGGCCAGTTAGTGGAGTGTTCAACCTAATACACTCTGTGAGAGGGACAGTTAGTGGAGTGTTCAACATAATACACCCTGTGTGAGGGCCAGTTAGTGGAGTGTTCAACATAATACACTCTGTGTGAGGGCCAGTTAGTGGAGTGTTCAACATAATACACTCTGTGTGAGGGCCAGTTAGTGGAGTGTTCAACCTAATTCACTCTGTGAGAGGGCCAGTTAGTGGAGTGTTCAAATAAAACACCCTGTGTGAGGGCCAGTTAGTGGACTGTTCAACATAATACACTCTGTGTGAGGGCTAGTTAGTGGAGTGTTCAACACAATATACTCTGTGTGAGGGCCAGTTAGTTGAGAGTTCAACATAATACACCCTGTGTGACGGCCAGTTAGTGGACTGTTCAATATAATACACTCTGTATGAGGGCCAGTTAGTGGAGCGTTCAACATAATACACCCTGTGTGAGGGCCAGTTAGTGGAGTGTTCAACATAATACCCTCTATGTGAGGGCCAGTTAGTGGACTGTTCAACATAATACTCTCTGTGTGAGGGCCAGTTAGTGGACTGTTCAACATAATTCACTCTGTGTGAGGGCCAGTTAGTGGAGTGTTCAATATAATACACTCTGTGTGAGGGCCAGTTAGTGGAGTGTTCAATATAATACACTCTGTGTGAGGGCCAGTTAGTGGAGTGTTCAACAAAATACACTCTGTGTGAGGGCCAGTTAGTGGACTGTTCAACATAATACACTGTGTGGGCCAGTTAGTGGAGTGTTCAATATAATACACTCTGTGTGAGGGCCAGTTAGTGGACTGTTCAACATAATACACTGTGTGGGCCAGTTAGTGGAGTGTTCAATATAATACACTCTGTGTGTGGGCCAGTTAGTGGACTGTTCAATATAATACACTCTGTGTGAGGGCCAGTTAGTGGAGTGTTCAATATAATACACTCTGTGTGAGGGCCAGTTAGTGGACTGTTCAACATAACACACTCTGTGTGAGTGTGTGTGAGGGTCAGTTAGTGGAGTGTTCAACATAATACACTCTGTGTGAGTGTGTGTGAGGGCCAGTTAGTGGAGTGTTCAACATAATACACTGTGTGAGGGCCAGTTAGTGGAGTGTTCAACATAATACACTATGTGTGTGAGGGCCAGTTAGTGGAGTGTTCAACATAATACACTGTGTGATGGCCAGTTAGTGGAGTGTTCAACATAATTCACTCTGTGTGGGGCCAGTTAGTGGAGTTTTCAATATAATACACTGTGTGAGGGCCAGTTAGTGGAGTGTTCAATATAATACAACTCTGTGTGAGGGCCAGTTAGTGGAGTGTTCAACAAAAACCACTCTGTGTGAGGGCAGTTGGATGTTAACATAATCCAACATACACTCTGTGTGAGGGCCAGGTTCGTGGAGCTGTTCAAACATTAATTACACTGTGTTGTGGGCCAGTTAGTGGCGTGTTCAATATAATACCACTCTGTGTTGGGCCGGCAGTTAGGTGGACTGTTCAACCATAATACACTGGTTGGGCCAGTTAGTGGAGTGTTCAATTATAATACACTCTGGTGTGGGCCAGTTCGTGGGACTGTTCAATATAATACACTCTTGTGTGAGGGCCAGTTAGTGGAGTGTTCAATATAATACACTCTGTGTGAGGGCCAGTAGTGGACGTTAACATAACACACTCTGTGTGAGTGTTGTGTGAGGGTCAGTTAGTGGAGTGTTCAACATAATACACTCTGTGTGAGTGTGTGTGAGGGCCAGTTAGTGGCTGTTCAACATAATACACTCTGTGTGAGTGTGTGAGGGCAGTTAGTGACTGTTCAAATAATACACTCTGTTTGAGTGTGTGTGAGGGCCAGTTAGTGGACTGTTCAACATAATACACTATGTGTGTGAGGGCCAGTTCATGGACTGTTCAACATAATAGGTATATTCAAAGCATGTGTGTTTGCTCATGTTTTAGGGGTATTTGTGCAAATCTCTCTGTGAGTTTGTTTGTGTGTGTGTTCAGTTGTTGCTGATAGGAAGATGTGATGTTCTGTGGGGTTCATGCCATGTAACAGCTGGCATGCGTTACATAAATGAAGCTAGTGGTAAATGAATTCAAGAATGTGTGTATATTATTTTGGTTAATCATATTGTGAGTGAGTGAGTGTGTGTGTGTGTGTGTGTGTGTGTGTGTGTGTGTGTGTGTGTGTGTGTGTGTGTGTGTGTGCGTGCGTGCAGCGGCGTCTTCTGGATTCTGTCATGTTGTTTTGGCCTCGTTGTGTACGGAGAGATTGAGTAACGCTATAACCTCATCCCATTGGCACTGGGCGTGCACGGCTTGTATGCGGTTGGTGTAATGGGCGTGCTGACAAAATGGAGACACGGCCGAGACCCAGAGACCTTCTCTGACATGTTATGTAATCCCAAACTAATCAGGGGACAGGATACATCCCCAGTCTCTGTGATGTTTGTTATTACCACGATTATGAAATGACCAGATGGCTCCTCATGATGTCACCTAGTGGCTTCCACGATGGGAAACCCTAACTCATCCTCAATGGGAAACCCTAACCTTCCTCGATGGGACACCCTAAGCCGTAGCCCTTCCTCGATGGGAAAACCGAACCCTTCCACAATGGGAAACCCTAATGTTCCTCTATGGGACACCCAAACCTGTAACCATTCCTCGATGGGACACCCTAACCCTTCCTCGATGGGAAACCGTAACCATAACCCTTCTTCGATGGGAAATCCTAACCCATCCTCGATGGGAAACCCTAACCCTTCTTCGATGGGAAATCCTAACCCTTCTTCGATGGGAAATCCTAACCCATCCTCGATGGGAAACCCTTCCTTAATGGGAAACCGTAACCATAACCCTTCTTCGATGGGAAACCCTAACCCTTCTTCGATGGGAAATCCTAACCCATCCTCGATGGGAAACCCTTCCTTAATGGGAAACCATAACCATAATCCTTCCTCGATGGGACGCCCTAACCCGTAATCCTTCCTCGATGGGACGCCCTAACCCGTAACCCTTCCTCGTTGGGAAACGCTAACCCTTCCTCGATGGGACACCCTAAGCCGTAGCCCTTCCTCAATGGGAAAACCTAACCCTTCCACGATAGGGAACCCTAAACCTTCCTCGATGGGAAACCCTAACCCTTCCTCGATAGGAAACCTTAACCCTTCCTCGATGGGAAACCGTAACCATAACCCTTCCTCGATGGGAAACCCTAACCCTTCTTCGATGGGAAACCTTAACCCATCCTCGATGGGAAACCCTAGTGTTCCTCTATGGGACACCCTAACCCGTAACCCTTCCTCAATGGGAAACCCTTCCTCGACGGGAAACCCTAAACCTTCCTCTATGGGAAACCATAACCCATCCTCGATGGGAAACCCTAAATCTTCCTCATTGGGAAAAACCCTAACCCTTCCTCGATGGGACACCCTAACCCTTCCTCGATGGGACACCCTTACCCGTAACCCTTCCTCGATGGGACCCCGTAACCTTTCCTCGATGGGAACCCGTAACCCTTCCTCGATGGGAACCCGTAACCCTTCCTCAATGGGAACCCGTAACCGTAACCTCCTGATGGACCCACTCTCGATGGGAACCAACCCCTCGATGAAACCCGTAACCGTACCCTTGATGGGAACCCTAACCCTTCCTCGATGGGAACCCGTAACCTTTCCTCGATGGGAACACGTAACCCTTCCTCGATGGGAACCCATAACCGTAATCCTTTTTCGATGGGACGCCCTAACCGTAACCTTCTCGATGGGAAACCCGTAACCTTTCCTCGATGGGAACCCGTAACCTTCCTCGATGGGAACCCGTAACCTTTCCTCGATGGAACCTAACCTTCCTCGATGGAACCCTAACCTTCCTCGATGGGAACCCATAACCATAATCCTTCTTCGATGGGACGCCCTAACCCGTAACCCTTCCTCGATGGGAACCCGTAACCTTTCCTCGATGGGAACCCGTAACCCTTCCTCGATGGAAACCCGTAACCTTTCCTCGATGGGAACCCGTAACCCTTCCTCGATGGGAACCCGTAACCCTTCCTCGATGGGAACCCGTAACCCTTCCTCGATGGGAACCCGTAACCGTTCCTCGATGGGAACCCGTAACCGTTCCTCGATGGGAAACCCTTAATCTTCCTCAATGGGAAACCCTAACCCTAACCCTTCCTCGTTGGGAAACGCTAACCCTTCCAAAATGGAAAACCCTAACCCTTCCACGAACGGATACCCTAACCATAACCCTTCCTCGATGGGAAACCCTTCCTCGATGGGAAACCCTTCCTCGATGGGAAACCCTTCCTCAATGGGAAACCTTCACTCGATGGCAAACCCTAACCCTTCCACAAAGGGAAACCCTAACCCTTCCTTGATGGGAAACCCTAACCCTTCTTCAATTAGAAACCCTAATCCTTCCTCGATTGGAAATCTTAACCCTTCCTCGATGGGAAACCCTTTCCCTTCCTCGATGGGAAACCCTAACCCTTCCTCGATGGGGCCCGGCCACTTGATCTGTGATTATATCTTTTCACATTGTCTGTCAGGTGTGTTTCCAGTACTTTTGGCAATTAATTAATTTCACCTTTTTGAATGTCGACATCACAAAACAATTCCAGTAAAATGTATAAAAGGTGACAACAATAAGGAAAGGGCCTGGGTAACAAAAGTATTCTTGCGCTTTGCTTGCTTAATAACATACTGTACATATGTCCGGCTTTTTTGCAATAGCAGGCTCTGTCGTAGCCGGCCATGACCGGGAGACCCATGGGGCGGCGCACAATTGGCCCAGAGTCGTCCAGGGTAGGGGAGGGAATGGCCGGCAGGGATGTAGAGCATGGCGTTTGCAACGCCAGGGTTGTGGGTTCGATTCCCACGGGGGGCCAGTATGAAAAATAAAAAGATAATGTAAGTCGCTCTGGATAAGAGCGTCTGCTAAATGACTAAAATGTAAATGTAAAATGGTAACATTAATATTTGTTTTTGTGGCACAGTGTTTCTTTTCACTCATGTTACAGAGTCTGTTCAGTGAACCATGCTTGTGTGATAATGAGTAACCTTGCCCGAAACCTGAAGGTTTGCGTTAGCTCCCTAAGCAAATGAATAGGCTCGAGTTCAGTGTGCTACCAGTCTTACAGTCCTGTCCAGAAACAACAGCATTGGTTTGCTCCTACTTGTCTGTGTCGACGTGGTAATCAAGCTATAAACCTGAATATCCTGCACATTTCCTTCTGGCCTTGTAATGAAAATAAAATGTGTTAGAAAAACATGGGGGGGGAGAAACAGAAGTTACATGTTACCGTGGCAACCCTGATAAATACATCCCATAACTAGGTCCCTGGCCGCTGAGATTAGAACAGTGGGACATGGAAAAGGATAGCTTTTGTTACATTCCTGGGGTCTGGTCGCTGAGCGATGGCGATGGTGCTATTAGACTGCATTTATCGGCTTTAGGTTAACGAGCGCAGAAGGAATGTCTCACCACTGGCTGTCCCGTCCGGTACATTGTGTGACAGTGAACGCAAATAAAAACGTAATACTAAAACTCAAATAAAACTGATGTTCTCTGGAATTAACCGACTGTGGATTAACACACTGCTATTTCTACAGCACGTGTACAGCCTCAGTGTGCTTCCATATCAATGGAATAATATCAATGGATATCAATGGAATGATATCAATGGAATAATATCAATGGATATCAATGGAATAATATCAATGGATATCAATGGAATAATATCAATGGATATCAATGGAATAATATCAATGGATATCAATGGAATAATATCAATGGATATCAATGGAATAATATCAATGGATATCAATGGAATAACATCAATGGATATCAATGGAATAATATCAATGGAATAATATCAATGGATATCAATGGAATAATATCAATGGATATCAATGGAATAATACATCTAATAGTATAATCTAATAGTAAAAAGGTCCCACATAAAACACTTTAGACATTGACTTAAACATTCCCTTTACCTTGTTTGTATTAAATGCATGCTGCCCCATACCTATCCCTACCCATAATCCATTGTCCCCATTCCTTTAGCCATATTTTTGTCTTTGGGAAGACTGGCAGGCTGGCAAGGGCCCATTATCCCAGGACAGAATGCAGTCCTTATAGACTCACCTGTTTAAATATAGCTTGTCTACACACACCTACACTGTCGTGAAAAAGTATTTTCACCCTTTCAGATTCTCTATTTTTTTATATTTCTGACACTGAATATTAGATAAAGGGAACCTGAGTGAACAAATAACACAAAATGTTGATACTTTTTTCATTTATTTAATTAACAAAGTTATGCAACACCCAATGCCCCTGTGTGAAAAAGTGATTGCCCCCTTACACTCAATAACTGGTTGTGCCATTTGTAGCTGCTTCCTGCAGTTGTTGATCAGTCTCTCACAATAATGAATTCTGCTCTGTATCAGAGAAACCTAAAGGAGAATGTCAGGCCATCCATCCGTGAGCTGAAGTGCAAGCAAGACAATGATCCAGAACGAATCAAATCACAATCAAATCAAGCTTTATTTATACAGCACATTTCAGACATTGAATGCAACACAATGTGCTTCACAGGAAGAAAACAAATTAAAACAATTAAAATAAAAACTGAAATATTTACTACACAACATACATAAGAATAACAAATACTGAACGACTAAAAAGCACCCTAAGTAAAAAGCAAAGCTAAAAAGGTGTGTTTTAAGATCTCTTTTAAAAACGTCCACAGTTTTGGCCCCCCTCAGGTTCTCTGGCAGGCTATTCCAGAGGCTGGGGGCATAATAACTAAAGGCTGCCTCCCCATGCCTCTTGGTCCTAGGCTTTGGGATAGTTAAAAGGCCAGTGCCAGAGGACCTAGGGACCTACTGGGTACATAACTTAAAAGCATGTCTGACATGTATTGGGGTGCACAATCGTGGATTGATTTAAAAACGAATAGAATAATCTTACAATTAATTAATTATATATCAGCGCGCGACATCCGCACCTTGGCAATGTTCCTCAGGTGGTAAAAAGCTTCTTTGGTCTCATTCCTGATGTGTGATTCGAAAATTGAGTTCAGAATCTAAAATAACACCTGGATTTTTTTAACCTTGTGTTTTATCTTTATTGCCCGTGAATTAAAATGTGAGGCCAGATTCTCTCTCTGTGCTTTGGCTCCAACAGTAAGTACCTCGGTCTCGTCTTGATTTAGCTGGAGGAAGTTGTGAGCCATCCAAGTATTTAAATCACTTATAGAGTCAAATAATTTATCTGTGGAGCTAAAATCCTCTGCTTACACAGAAATGTAAAGTTGTGTATCGTCTGCGTAGCAGTGAAAATTAACACTGTGCTTTCTGATAACGCTGCCAAGTGGTAACATATATAAATTGAATAGTACAGGACCCAAAATCGAACCTTGTGGAATGCCACATGTGATATGTATTATCTCTGAGTTAGGTTCACCAAGGGTGCCAAAAAAACTCTAGACCGGTTAAATAGGTCCTAGTCTACATCAGAATGGCTGAAAATAAACACATTTAAAAGTTCTGGAATGGCCTAGTCAAAGTCCAGACCTAAACCCGATTGAGATGTTGTGGCAGGACATGAAACTAGCAGTTCATGCTTGAAAACCCACACGTCACTGAGTTAAAGCAGTTCTGCATGGAAGAGTGGGCCAAAATTCCTCCACAGCGACGTGAGAGACTGATCAACAACTACAGGAAGCATTTGGTTGGAGTCATTGCAGCTAAACAACCAGTTATTGACTGTAAGGGGGCAATTACTTTTTCACACACAGGGGCATTGGGTATTGCATAACTTTGTTTATTAAATAAATGAAAAAGTATCAAAATGTTGTGTTATTTGTCGCTCAGGTTCCATGTATATAATATTAGGGTTTTGGTTGAAGCTCCGATAACATTCCGTTTCCAAAATAGGCAAAAATAGAGAACATCTGAAAGGGAGCAAATAATGTTTCACTGCACTGTACACACACACACACACGGTGGATAAATACAGTGCCTTCATAACGGAAGGTAGCCGTCAAGTGATTTAAGGTTGCCATTGTTTAGCCGATACGCAATCACTGTGAATGAGGAGTCATCTCACACACACTCTCCCCCTCCAACCTTTATTTTTTTCACCATTCTGTGCGCTCTCTATTCCCCCCCCAACCCACATCCCTCTGGAGCCATTCCAACCCCATTACATCACCCTTAACACTCTCCTGGTCAACAGACAGAGGAAAGTAAAGGAATGTCAAGAAATCAAGGAAAGGAACCCATTCCCTGTAACGTCTGTCCACATGGAGCATTTCAAATCACTGCTTGTTTTCGTTTGCTGCCCTTGACGTGGATTTACTCAGATAGCACGAGGGCTAATTGTCGTAACACCCTGACTCTATAGATGACCTCAGAGAGGAGGGGCGGAGATAGAAGGCAAGTGAAAGAGAGAGACAGGTGGGTACAAGAAAGAGAGAGAGAGAGCAAAGTAAAGAGAAAGAGAGGAGGACTGACATCTCTGACTGGGTCGGCGCGGGGGGAAATGGTGAGAACCGTCGGAGGCTCTGGCCTGCCTGTGTTGTTTCAGCCCACTCTGGAGCGGCCAGGCCAGGCCAGCGCTGCGCTGCGCTCGTTTCCCCTCTCCCTCCAATCCAAACGGAATGACTCAACCAGGGCTGTCCCTCGCCGGCCCCTCAGGGCCCCCGCAATAACTCAACCCTGAGAGGTCTACCGGTGTTGGTAGCCAGTGACCTCATTCTGCCA